TACAGATTAATCTAAGCCCCAACTTAATGAAGATCTGTTACCATAACGCAAGCCTATTTTTCAAACTTTCGTCGTCCATGGGATTTGAACCCTAGACCTGCTACTTGGAGAGGGTGACGACTTGACCACTTCACTAAGCCGCCACACCTCGTGTTCTACTAATTTATATCATCTTTTAAAATATTTTAATATATAATTATTGATCAGGTATATGTAAAAGATATTAAGTTAGAAAATTCACGATTATAAAAATTATTGTTATTATATAAATAAGCTTACAAATCAAAATAACTAAGATTTATGAATCACATTACTAATTTAATTTAATTCAATGCTCACTTATTCATAGTATCGGTAGAATATCCAGTTATTTAAGGTTATCTCAATTTGGTGATCTGTGGATAACTATATAATCTAACAACCGGATTAAAAATTAGTAATTAGTTTTTTTAAAAAAATCCAGTTCTAAGCTCTAGTAATAGTAATGTAATATTATACCAATTGTTATTATGCTTTCTATATATTATCGATATACATTATAATTAGAATATATTAGGAGAAAAAAAATTTAAAATAGTCATATATATACAGTATACAATACGTAACTTTTTTGAAAATTAATGGTATCATGAAATTCAGAAACCACTTCTAATATATTTAGTGTTAATGAAAATGAACCACAAGAGTATAGTGAAACAAATAGAACGAATGAATCAAGCCAATCATTCACAAAACACAGAAATGTTAGTGGTAAAAAGCAAGGAGATATTTGGCATTATATTAGCCAAAATATTAGTTTAGATCAGGGACATTATAAAGCTAGTTGTAAATATTGTTCTGTTTCATGGAAAAGAGGTTAACCAGATAATATACATTTATATCTTGCTTGACAATGTTTAAATGTTCCTGATGAAATTAAATATTTTTGAAGAGATTTTATTACTAAAGAAAAAACTTCAATACAAAAAAACTAAAAAATCAATCTGAAATTACAACCCATTTTCAAAAAGTTGAACCACTTCTTGAAGCACTGGTAGAATCTTTAAATAAAGCTATTTTAAAAGCTTGGGTTATGTGTAATTTTTCATTTGAAACCATAGAGAATCCTTTTACAGTGCCTGACAAAGTTTCTCTGCACCTATATCTTCTTATAGAGAGGTGCTACAGCTTTAAAACTTTTCTAAAAATTAGTATATATATAGTTTAGATTGTGCGTATTTTTTGAAGATTTTTTAATCACTAAAAAAAATTTTACATGAGAGCTGAATTTGGAATGCTTTTTTTTTAAAAAATAAAAAAATTAATTAAATTTAAAGAAAAATTAATATATCATTAAGGCTTAAAGCTAAAAATTTCAAAAAATTAGTTTATTAAAATTTAATGATTTCTATTATAGTTATAAAAAAATTAGCTTGATTTAATGAGATAGTTGTTGAGAAATTAATTTTTAAATTTTGATTTTTATTTTTAAAAATTATAAAGTAAAAGTTTTTTCAATCAAACTATCTTGATATCTAGTGATCCAAATTTAATAATTTTGATATCATTCGAATTGTCTCATAGAGACAATTCAAATGATACTAAAATCATCAAATTTGGACTCTTGAAACACAAGATATTCATAAAAAATGTTTTGCAACACAAAAATAGTCAGACATCGACAAATCAAATATGATAAAAATAAAACTCAAAACTTTAAAAATTAATTTCTTAATAACTATCTCATCAACTCGAGTCAAATTTTTGTTACTACTACAGAAATGATTGAATTTTAATATAGAAATTTTTAGAATTTTTAGCTTTTATTCTTGATGATATATTAAATTTTTTTGAATTCAATTATTTTTTTAAATTTTTTTGGACAAAAAATGTCCCAATTTTAGCTCTCATCTAAAAATTTTTCTAGTGATTATAAAATCTTCAAAACAAATACACAACCTAATCTATATATATACTAACGTTTCTGAAAATTTCAAGATTATAGCACCTCTCTATGAGGAGATATAGATGCAGGAAACTTTTGTCAGGCACTGTATAATTGACTTGTTTCAACTTGCAATTTCCGGGTATAATCTCCCATCACGTGATAGACTCTTTGGTCATTTCTTAGACCAAGAAGTTTTAAGAATTGATAAATGAATTGATAATGATCTAGAAAAAAGAAATTTCTTACTTTATATAAGTAATATAAAATTATAATTAATAAATTAAAATTTAAAAAAAAATTTTTTTATTATACTATAATAGCCTTCAATAGATGGACATTGTCTACTTATGATTCAATTTATAACTTTATTATTACTATGTCTAAACGTAAAAAATATCTTACAAAACTTAAGGAGTATAACAAAATTAGTTATACAGAAAGTTTATCGCTAGTGAAATTTTAAGTTTTATTGAAAAAATAAAAGTTGAAAAGTTTACGGCAATTGTTATCGATTCAGGATCAAATCTTCGAGTAGCTTGTCAAATCGTTAATAGCACTTATCCTTCTATATAAATATTAGATGTGCTGCACATGTAGTAAACTTGCTTGTATTTGATTTTGCTAAATTAGATTCAATTAAAGATATTGTTACCAAATGTGGTTTAATTACAAATTTTTTTCATCATTCTCATGTTGCTCACGGATATTATTCAGAGCAATTTCATCTTATGAAAATTAAAGGTGGAGAAATTAAATCATACTGTAAAACTTGCTGGAGAACACTTTATATGATGATAGACTCAATTGTTAAATCCAAGCCTGTTTTTGATTGGGTAAGTATAATAAATAACATTATTTTTTATTTTTATTTTTTTTGGTATTAAGGTGATCTCTTTGGCCAAGGAATGTTTTATTAGATAGTTTTGTTTTTCAATTACAGTAAGAGTACATATAGCTACACATGCACCTTTTGAATGCCTAATTTAAGTAGTCCATCTAAAAGTTCTACACTATCTGCCGTACCTGTACCCCGACTAGGGGGTACCCATTTAAACTCTTTAACTATAACCTACTTCCAAACCAATAGATACTACCTAACCTGAGGCGTAGCTTACTATATACAGATAGTTCACTATTGCCCAATCTAATTTTGCACACATCTTAGAACTTACTAACTCCAATGTGGCTAATCTATTTATGAGGTAAATCTAACAGAGTGGTCCATGTCCCACATGTATATTCACCTGCGGGTTTGGTAATTTCTTCCCAATTAGTACATATTGTTTGCTGCCATTGTGTTCGTATCTCATGCCACCTTTTGGGGTGCTGCCGTAACACAATCTATATCTCAAGCACAACCTTCCTAATTAGTCTTCTGTTATGTACTCTTGCCCTTGTATTGCTTCACAACAACCCCAGTACCCCAATCCAACTGTCTTTTTACTCGGATTCTTAATTGGTCCCTCCTTTACTTCGAGCTGGCAACCCAGATGAGTTGATTTGCCCAGGCTTAAAGTGCCTGAAGGACGCTCTCCCCTTGGTCCATACTTACAGAGCATATGATCTTTTCCTCTGGTGTGTCTAAACCGGCAGTTTGGCTAGTGTGTTTCTCCACTAAAAAACCTGGTTGCTCGGTTCTTTAATCTCGGCCCAGTTCGAATTTAGCCGTCATGTAGTACCGTCAAAGATCACTGCTACCTCCAAACTCAGGACTTCCCAAATGGGCTTCCTGTACGATAAAGGCAATCCTCAAGATTTACACAATTATAGACTTATTAAGTGTTTGCACCACCCTAAACCAGTTTGCATTCCTTTGTAGTTACCAGGTTTCTCCAATTGTACAAATGCTAGCAGATCTTCCAGGATCACTCTCTAGTACAACTTGAGTTACAGATCCTCAATCCAAGATCCAATCATAATATACAGATTACCAGAACACAGACCTATTTTTTAAAATCGTCAACCATGAGATTCGAACTCTAGACCTGCTACTTGGAAAGAGTGACAACTAGACCACTTTACTAAGTCACCACATCTCTAATAATATTACTTTAATTTATAATATATAACAATAGTATAATTAATATTTTTATAGATTTTGGAAAATTACATGTCAAGAGGTATGGTGACTTAGTGTAGTAGTCTAGTTGTTACCCTCTCCAAGTAGCAGGTCTAGAGTTCGAATCCCATAGATGATGATATTTGGTTAATGGCTATACTTATTGGTTAAATCTAATTTGTAACTTCGGTCACACCATTTAGTAATGGGAGCAATGGTGCAATAAATCCAAGAAACCAGCATAACCAAAAACCTATTTGGGAAGTCCCAAGTTAGGAGTAGCAATGATCTATAATAGTATCACAAGAGGGCTGAATTCGAACTGAGGTCCAAGATCGGAGAACCGAGCGACCAGGTTCTAATAGTAGAGGACACACCAGCTAAACTGCCGGGTTGTCATACCGGAGGAAAAGGACATACGCTCTGAAAGTATGTACCAAGAGGAGAGCATCCTTTAGGCATCTAAAGCCTGGACAGACCAACCTTTCTGAGTTGCTAGCTAGAAGTAAGAGAGGAACCGATAAAGAATCCAGATAAGAAAATGGTCTAAATGTGGGTACCAAGGTTGTTGTAAACCTATACAAAGGTGGAAGTAGATAATAGGTTTAATTAAGAAGGTTGTGGCTTGTCGGATTGGGTTGCGACAGCACCCTTAAAGGTAGCTTGAGATACGAACTTGGTTACGGTAGCATAATTGGTACTAGTTAGATAGGGGTTTAATGGTTAGCCCTAACCCCGAGTGCATAGGTCAAGCTGTGGTAGTAGATTACCAAAGCCTGGGTGAATACATAGGTGGGACATGTACCCTAGCAAAAAGTTAGTCACTAGCTTCAATGTTGAGGTTCGGTGCGGTTCTATGACAAAAGTGATACAGCTATCATATCTAGGGCTTAATAAAGCAACTGGGTAGGGTCAGGTGTTTCAGTAATCATTAGTTCTACAGTACTGGCACCTGTCATTTAGAAATAGTTCTTATACACTATTTGCCAACAAGTTTAGAGTTTATTACTTACCATCTATGTTAGTTAGCTAGCATCATTTGTATATATGAATTAATTACTAAAATAAATATCTAGCAAGATATGCCAAAGTTTAAAAAAAAAAAAAATCACATGTCTGTACTCTCTAATACTGCAATATTTGATCTTCTTGAGGATGAAGATTTTTATATTAAGTGCTATTAGGTCTTTGTTATTTTGAAACCTGTAAAGGAACTAACAAATTTTTTAGAAGCTAGAACAACCAATTTAGCTGACATTTTTATTGGTTTGGTTAAATTAGCTACAAATATTAATCGAGTTGAAAATTTTAATCTGTGGAAAACAAATATTATTATTAATTTCAATCGATGATTCAATGAATTTATAAATTCTGTTACAATATTTATATACTGGTTATATTCCTTATATAGAGATATATATTTATAAGTAGAGATACAATCTGATTATAATTTTTATAGCTAATATAATTATATAATTTAATTATATATATATTTTTTAGATCATGGCTTAAAGGGAACAGTATTGGATAAAATTTATGAAACAGCTGCATTAATTTAGAATGATTTATATTATTCAGAAGAGTCATATACGCAATTATTGATAAAAATACGAAGTTAGAAACAAAAAAATAAACTGTACTATCTTTCTTATAATTCTACTCATAAAATACTAATTAAATAGTGGCATAGTATATATGTTGAAGATAATCAAGATCAACTTCAACAATTGGTATTATGTTTATTTTCAATTGTTCCTTTACAAGCCATTTGTGAAAGAAACTTTTCAATGCTTAAATGGTTTTATGGTAATAAGTGGACTTGACTTTGTCTTTCTCAAGTAGAAGATATAGCAAAAATATGCTCTTACTATCTTTCAAATTCTGATAAAGAACTTCAACTTTATAGCAAAGATTTAAATAGTGAAGAGTTATATGAAAGTATTAACACATCAATGGTTATATATGATTTACTTGAAACTTCAAACAAAATTATTAATAATGACAGGACTAATAATTTGGATGATATTAATGAAAGTGAATTTTGGAAAGTTTAATATTAAATATTGCAGATTCAGTAGATTTAATATTGCCAGAGTTTTTAGCATCTGGAGATGCAATATTTTCTTCAGAGCCTATTATTAATTGGGCTAGAGATGTAGCAGTAGGTAATATGAATTATAATCCTATTAAGTTGGTATATCAAATAGTATTACGAGATAGAGAGGATTAAAAAATTTATTATTATGTAGTATTTAAATCATGCATATAATAAATTTTTTTTGGTTGAAGTATATATAAGATTAATTTTGGGTTTTACTGTTTTTGATTGAATTAGATCCAAAAAATGTGATCTAAGTAGGATAAAATTATGACAATTAGTTATAATTGATAAATTAATTATTTTATAATGTAAAAAATATTATCCATTGTAAAATAGTTCAACAACTCTTGCTGACCTATTACTCAAAGCTAAATAAATGTGAAAACTTATATTAATTTTATAGTTTGGGGGTTTTGAATTTTTGATTTATATTTGTGCATTATGTGAACTTATGATCTTTACTAGGATATGGATAATGTAAAAATGAACTATATACTGTATATTACTAGAATAGTAAGTTTAGCAAAGGAATTTTTTATAGTAATTTATGATAAAATCACAAAAATTCTAATAAAAATTAACTAGACCTTGACTATACTATTTTCCACTAAAATAGCGAATTCTTTAACAAGATCTTTTACAGTAACTCCTGATGAAAATTATAATAATTCAAATGCAAACTAATTTACTATATATGATTACTAGAGTGGCAAGTAAATTTTGTAACAAAATTTTTTACCACTGAAATAGCAAGTAAGTTTTACTTAAGCTTATAATAGAAGCCACGATAATTCGATGCAAGCTAAATAATTCTACATTTTTGATCATCAAAATAACAAATAAGTTTTGTTACAGAATTTCTTGCAGCAACTTATAAGAAGAATTAGGGATTCCACGGCCTAGTGGTCTAGGCATCCAACCCTCCACAAGCGGGTTTCGGGTTCAAATTCTAGCAGGTACATTTACCTACAAATATTTGAAAGTATCTGCTGTGGGAAGTCTAAGTGAATACAAGTTTGGATTAGGAATTTCCGGAAGGAGGTCCATTGTGAAGTAGTTGGTACTACGTGTAATGATAATTGTTACAGAAGGTTCTATTATATAAAGGTTGTACATGTAAATCTGCGATTGGCAAGGTAGCACCAACAACCTCTAAGGCGGCATTGGGGATCTTGTTTGGGAGGATAACTGGGCGGTAACCAGAATTGGAAAGTGTGGTGAACACAAAGGGACCTGTGGTAAAGAATTGGCCTTACCAGATTTGGAACACCTTTGGCATATACAGAACTCTCTAGCCAATAAGAAGTTGAAACATGGAGGCATGTACATGTTGATAGACCTAACAGGCTTTAGTCGTACCCGTATTAGAGCCTTTGGCATTAAGAGGACCTGGGACCACCAATATAAGTATAGCTAGTATAAGTGCATGCAGTGGTAACTGGAGGCTACAACTGCCAAAAATCACTATAAAAAGAAACAATGACATACTTGTTATCTCTGAGCCTCATAATGCCCTCCAACTATACTGACTACTGGAAGCATTTGTGAAACATGCCTGGGTGGCCTTATCACTATATTGGGAAGTATAGTCATTAGCACAAACCTAATTGGATACATTAAGACCTGGGTCCCGAAAGTCGCAGGAAATCCAGCTAGTTACGGCAGCATGCAGGCTTGAGATACTTACTTATTCGGGTAAAAGCAGCTGCATAGTTTGAGATACAAACTTCTGGAAAGTATACTAAGTAAGGATTGAGGAAGAAATCGCTCTGTCAGGCATACCAAACTGGAAGCAATAAGCGCCTATCTGATACACACCAATTTGGGAGTTGAAGATAAAAGGTTTGTGGGTAATGTGGTGAACATGTGAATACTGATTGGCAGTTGGGGAAGGATGTATAAAATCTAGGTCAATCACATATGTGGGAATGTTGATAGCTCTGGTGGGTTTTAGCCATGGATAAATAGTATTAGTACTTGATGTTCAAGTCCTAGTTTTGATATATAATATGCATATATTTATGACACCATCATATATCAATTTACTTAAGTATTAATAAAAGTCTAGAGCAGAAGCTACACCCCAAATATTAAAAATAAAAAAAAAATAAAAAAAAGAAGAATTATAATAATTCTAATATAAACTCAACCTTAACTACGAACTATTGTCACTGGAATAGCAAGTAGTTTATATTAGAAGTAGAAGTCACGATAATTCTAATAAAACTAATTTAACATATACTTTAATTATCTGAAGCAAATAATTTTTAAAGTAACAATTGATTTTGAAAAAATTTTCATGCTAAAAGCATGGGCAAATAGTTAGTAATAGTAACCTAAAATGGCATAAAAATTTCTTATTATTGGAACAGCAAACCATTCTTTGTTGTGAACCTATGTCTTAGATCAGTAGTTTTAAAACCTAAAATTTACTATTAAAATTTTTTTTCACTTTTATAGAAATATAATAATAACAATATAATAATATGATTCCTTTTGCAACTAGACTTTATATACATGAAGGCTAAAAATTTAATAATAAATAAAATCTTGAAATAAAGTCCAGGTGTAATAAAACTGTAAATTAAAAAAATATATTATAAACACTGTATCATAATAATAACAATATTAAAGATTATGCTTTTCACCAAAATTACATCTTCAGCAAATTTTAAATAATATTCAAATACTTTCTTTATATTTTTTTTTGGCACCACTCTGAGATTTAATTTTTCGTCAAAATTGTAGATTTTGAAAATGCTTTTTTCTTGATATTATCAATATCTATACCATGTTTATAGCAATAAATAAAAAATGGGTTGTTAATAATATATTCAAGATGATATTTCAATTTTCTAAAAAAAATAGTTTTAGTAAAACGACTAGTACTGTAGTATAAGGCAAAGTTTAAGAATCAATTGCAATATGTGCAATATAAAAATAAAATTCCAATTCACCAATTCACCAATTTACCATTTCACTGTTTCACCAATTCACCAATTCACCATTTTACCAATTCACCAATTCACTGTTTCATCAATTTACCAATTTACCGTTTTATCAATTCACCAATTACACCAATTCACCAATTCACCAATTCACCAATTCACCAATTCACCATTTCACCAAAATTTTATTTTGGTGTAATTCTGGTAAAACTATTTTACCATTTTATCTGGTAAAATTAACCTATTTCACTAGCATCTATACTTCTACTACTTGCTCCTCTAGCTCGCGGAGTAGGTTTAGGAAAGTTTCACAGCTTACCAGGTGTTCTATATTTTTTTCTTCTTTTTTTTTTTTTTTATTTTTAATATTTGGAGTGTAGCTCCTGCCTCAGACTTTTATTAATACTTAAGTAAATTGATATATGATGGTGCCATAAATATATACATATTATATATCAGAACTAGGACTAGGACATCAAGTACTAAGACTATTTATTCACAGCTAAAACCTACTAGAGCTGTCAACATTCCCACATATGTGATTAATCTGGATTTTATACATCCCTCACAACCACTAATTAGTATTCACATGTCTGCCACATTACCCACAAACCATTTATCTTCAACTCCCAAATCAGTGTGTACCAGGTAGACACTTATTGCTTCCGGTTTGGTGTGCCTGTCAGCGGGGTTTTCTCTCTTAATCCCTACTTAGCGTACTTCCAGAAGTTCGTATCTCAAGCCATGCAGCTGCCTCTACCCGAACAGGTAAGTATCTCAAGCCTGCATGCTACCATAACTAGCTAGTTTCCTGCGACTTTCAGGACCCAGGTCTTAATGTATTCAATTAGATCTGTGCTAACGACTGTACTTCCCAATATGGTAACAAGGCTGCCCAGGCATGTTTCACAAATGCTTCCAGTAGTCAGTATAGTTGGAGAGCATCATGAGGCTCAGAGGTAACAGATGCGTCATCGTTTCTTTTTATAATGATTCTCGGCAGTTGTAGCCTCCAGTTACCACTACATGTGCTTACACTAGCTTTTTTTATTTATTATTACATTATTTTTAAAACAATTTACATATATAATATTTTGATTTAAATTTAAAAATAAAGTGGGTTAAGGATAAATATAAACCATAAATATTAGCTAGACTTTTATTTGCATTTACTAAAATGAATGCTAATATCTGGAATCAAACACCATTTAATACTAATATTAGTGAATCGGCACATGCTAACATTAACCAAGATGGCCGATCATTATCTTTATTAGCAGCAATATTTCGGTACTGTATATATTTTAAAATACTAAAATATTAATAATATATAGTATATGTTAAAAAATTTTAATGATTTTTTTATTATATAGAGGTAATGATTTTGATCAACATCAATGGGATTCTGCTAAAACATATGATAAGTATAATGTATATGAATCATATAAAGATAAGTCTGAATTAGCTCGCTTGACAAATAAGTTTAATTTTTTTAAATTTAAATAAGTTACATAATTTAATTTAATAGTTTATATTTATTTAGAAAAACGAAAAAATAAAAGCAAAGAATCAGCCTCAAGATCTACACTACAAAAAAAACGTAAAAACCAAGCATTAAATGAAAAAAATAAAGATTCATCTTCATTTTCTATATCAACTCTAACTATGGTTCCTACGGCCCAAGAACAAGACAATTTTATTGAATAGGAAAACAAAAAACTTGAATTGCAGCAAAAAAGCTTGGAAGTTTTTAGAGAAGAAATTTTATTATATGAAAAGCTTAATAGTTTAAAGGAATTATAATAATCTCATTAAGCTTTTATTATTAGTATTTTTTTAAATATGAAATACCGTAAATAAAATATATTGCATTTTGAAATAAATATTTCTATCCTGTAATTTTATAAAGCAAATTAAATTGCACAAAGAATTAATATATCATATGTAACTCACAGCAAAATATTGTATTATTATTGTACCATACAGTACATATTTATATTGTACGGTTAAATAAAATATAGTACCCTACCGTACAGTACAAGTTTTTCAACTGTACTATATATAATTTCTATATACCGTATTATATTGTTATAATTGTAATAAAAGTACATCAAGCCACATATCACTTTTGGTACCTAATTTAAGTAGTCAATCCAAAGCGGTTGTATTATGCTAAGAGTT